TTAACAGAAGAAGAAACACAAAGGGATCGGGTTGACAGAGATTGGTAGTGTGAGAACACACTGCTGTCAACTGTATTGCCTAAGAGGTGTGGAAACACACTGAGGCTGGCAGGCTGGAAGTCTCTTCATCAAGCAGCGACCTCTTCAGTACAGTGTACCTGTGACCCCTAGGCCTTTACCCTACAGGTATTCTAGCACAGGTACGAGGGACACTCTTCCAGGTTGTATTTGTTACACTGTTGCTGGGAACAGGAAAACACCCGGAAGTGAGCATCAGAAGGCTGGTTCACAAGGTCTGGCAGAGCTATGCAAATAACCCCTGGTACAGCTCTCCCACGACTGGGTAACTCACCTGAAGACCTCCAAGAAGTGTCACCTGAAGATCACAAGCTGCAGAGTGGTATATATTTTATGCTATTAACACTAGCATGTGTTATGCTAGCATTTGCATTTTTGAAATCTCTGTATACGTAGGTGTTTACTTGTTTATTATGGATAGAATGTCTCTTTCAGGATTCCCGAAAAATGGAAAATAGTGGTTCCCTAACTTGTTGATGGCAAAACTTTCAGAGGTTTCAGGGATAACAGCCAGCTGTGGCACGCATGGCATAAATTCGTCATCACTGGGTTACTGCCTAGGAGAGGTGCTGGAGACTAAGCCTTTCAATTTTGGACCATGAGTATTACCTCTTCAAATAATGAAGAAAAAATGTGTGCTCATTTAGCATTCTGCTCCACAATCTACCCACAACTGATTTGATGTAAAAAATAATGCTTCAAATTATTTACCATGTACACACTAATTAACTTTCCTGAAATTAACATTCGAGAAAGACCGCCCCATTTGTCGGGAGACTTTGTCTCCTGGCCACCCCAGCAAGGTCCCCTTTCTGAAGAGGACAGAACTGTGCAAAGCATTTGGCATATCAACTAGCTGTCCCACAAATGTGAGTTCTTGTCCTCCGTGGGAAAGGCACAGCTCCGGGGACAGGAGTTGGAGGGAACCCGGAGCCCTTGGCAAGGTCAGGAGGCTGAGGAGTGCCGGGTGTCCCAGGCAGGGCCTTGAAAACATCACCCCATGAAACCCAAGGTCACACGGATCCGTGCCCGCCCTTCAGCATAACAGCAGCTGTAAGGACCTGCTCTCCTCCCTGGATCCACCTCCCTGGGCAGCTCCTCAGAATCACCGCCAGCTCTGTGTCTCACCCCACTGTGTTGCCCGATTCGCCACCTTTTAGACCCCAGTTTAAACACTCTCTTCCTAGCAAAGCCCCCAAGAGTCTGGGGGCAGAGTCACACACGTCACATGGCGTAGCAATCACAGTCTCTACCCTTCAGATTCCTCCAGGACAAGGACCTTTCTCGTCTTAAAGAGTACAGCCTGGTGCCCTGTGTGTGAATGAACTCACGGCCCAGGGTGTTCCCTCAGGACCTGAGGAGTGACAGCACTGCTGGGAGTTTGGGGCGGCCGGTCTGGGACCTGTAGGACGAGTCTCGGAAGGCTGGCAGAGCTGAGCTCCAGGGCTTGGGGGTCCACTTGAGTGACAACCCCACGTGAAGGGCGATCAGCGTAGAGGACTGTCCTTTTCTACGGGTAAGTGACTGCCTCGCACAGTGTAGGCTTCCACGAGTCCCTGGCCTCACAGGCTAAGTAACAGTTATGACACCCCAGACGCTCCTCATGCCCACAGATCCCACTATGAATGGAACCTCTCGGGGTGGAACACCCTTGTCCTTACCCTGCTGGAGATCTGGCAGAGCAGACTTCAGCCCCAGGGCGGACTGTGGTCTGGATGTGGAATCCAGCAGTTCCATCAGAACAGAACAGTGCTTCGGTTTTGTTTCGGGCAGGGGTTGAACCCAGGGCCTCCAGCGAGCAGGCATCTACCACTGAGCTGCATCCCAGCTTGAGACAGCCCTGTGGACCTGGGGGAGCTGTGCCCGAGCCCCGGAATCCCGCCTCGGAGGTGCCAGCGTGAGCCCAGGGAGCCCTACCTTGGCCGCCCTGCAGGAGGTCGGTGGGCTGCAGGGCTCCCCGGATTGGCAGGGGTTGCAGGTTAAGAGCCCCCCGTGGGCCCAGGGAGGGCTGGGGTGGGTCCCTGACCGCATCGGGGTTCTCCATGCTAGCTGAGAGGTGGAAGCAACTCCAATGTCCACCCATGGACGAGTGGGTAAACAAGACGTGCTGCCAACTTACACTGAAACAGTCTTCCTTCAACGACCTACCTGTTAACTAGTGTGTGACTTACAAGTGAGGTAGGCTGCTTGGACTTACGACCCTCTTTTACTGGTACACGTCTATGCAACTTGTTTATAGAATCAAAATGTTATTTTTTGGTACAGTACACCTTGTTTATACAGTACTGCAATGTTTGCTGTAGTTATACGTTCTGTTGTACGTTACAGCGCTGGGAAGATAAAAACAAAGTCATCAAGTTGGAGTTTCTTTGGCCCATTTCTTTATTCTGAATATTGTCATGTACCTACTATATACAGTTCCTCATTTAGTGACCAATTCATTTAAGGACCTCGCGGGACTGGGACCGTAACTCTGTCCTTAAACAAGAAGGGTCTGTATAAGTCGGCCTTCAAAGGAGGGAAATTCTGATGCAAGCTGCAGGGTGCATAGCCTTGATTGTGCAGCACGCGGGGACCAAGCCAGCCAGAAACGCGCAAATGGTGGGCGAGTCCACCTCTGAGAGGTGCCTGGAGGTGTCCAGCTCCCTGTGGCAGAAAGAAGAGTGGCTGCCAGGGGCTGGGGGAGAGGGGCCAGGAGTTAGTGTTTCAGGGGCACAGTTTCAGTTTTGCAGGACGAAAAGGTCCTGCGGTCGGGGCGCAGAGAGCGCTGCACAGTCCTGTGGCTGTAAGGTCGCTGAACTCCGCAAGCGAACGTGGCGAAGATTGTAGGCTGATGTTGTACATGTTTTACAGTCATTTAAAGGCCGTGATAGGGAGACTGGGAATCAAGTTCGGCCCTGCCGTTGGCCAGCGTGATGGGCCTGAGTCGCCTCCCTGACTGCAGCCTCCCTTGGCGCCTTTACTAGCTTCGCTGGAGATCTGTTCTTGAACCTCAGGCAGGCGCCTTGTGGCACGTGGTCAGGACTTGCACATCCCGGTACTGAGGCCGCTCAGGGAAGCCACCTTCCCTCCCGTCAGTCTCTCCCGCAGAAGGATTGGGAGCCCCTGGCTTCTGTTACAGGGCTGCACTGACAAAGAGCAGCTGAGGGACCAGGGTGCTGGGTGCAACTGTCCGGGTCTTACTGTCTGTAGCCAGCAGAGCCCACCCCACAGTGAGCCGACCGGAAAGTTCTCCATGATCTTCCTTTTGCCCTCCTCCCTGGGTCCCAGAGGTACACACTCCTTAATTTACAACCTCTCCCCTCCTGCACAGGCTCAGGGAGGGTTGATCGTTGTGGAGGGCAATAACAGTTCATTTTCTTTTGTGTGGATTAAACAATCATTTGATTGGAAAGTGCTTCCTGGTGCAGCAATTAGGGACCAACTGGAAGTAAAGCCAAGGGCACTTAACCCAGCTAGTTATTAACCACCAGGAAATGCTAGACCAGGAGCGTATTCATCGCTGGTACAAACTCTGAAGTTGGTGGGAAGAGAAAGCAAAAACTGAAGCAATTTCTTTTTAAGCAATGAAAAGTTTAAAAATGGAACAGTGGGTTGCCATAGACACAGTTTCTGGCTCTGGGCATCTCTGGGCGGCCTCAACGCTTGTACTCGGTGACACAACCATTGGACATGGTTTTCAGCAGGGGCAGCTGTGCCTCCCAAGTACCTATAATGAATATCTGCAGCCCCAGGCTCCCACGGAAATCCTCAAGCCTGCCGTTGTCACTGTAATTTCCTTGGGAAGTGGTTCTAATTACACAGCTTTAGATGCCTGCTCCAGGTCGAGCCTTCTTGTACTCAACACGCAAATTGCATAAAACCTCAAAACAGCCAGCAGACTCTGGAGTGGCCCAAATTGCCATGTACTTGTTTTTAACTCAGTAGTTAAGCATGAGTGGGTGTAACAGGGCAGTATTTGCATGAGCACAAACAACATTAAAGGAACAGGCCGTATCTAGTTCCTTATAATCCTCCACAGAGGTCACAACCCATTTCAGCAAGACCGCTTTATAATAACAGAATCCTCAACTCTAATACATGGGCTGTTTATTTCAACTGAGTTAGTCGGGGCTTTGTAAAGAGGGATTTAATCATTTTGTTCTATTACCTGTGACCTATCACTTAGGAAACTTCTGGGGGTTGAGTGTCCTGGAGGTGGAAACATTGTTACCTTTGGACTCTTAGTGTAGCAAATGTCCCAAGACGTAGCGTGACATTCACCAACTATCAGAGAAAATTCTCAGTTCCAGGGAACTATATATACAGAGGCTACTGTTTAGATGTTAAGTTTTCTTTAGAGTTCAGTAAATCGTATTTTTTTTCCTCAAAGAAGGGGCAAAATAGGTTTCTCGTACGAGTTTGGCACCCCCACCAAAGCCTGTGTTTTAGAGGCCTGAACTTGGGCAGGATGGACAGGTACCCAGGGTTGGAAGCCTGCAGCTGATGCATAAGGAACAGGGTCTGTCTTGAGGCCATAACGCCAAGTGAAATGAGCCGGTCAGAAAGACAGACACAGTGTGATGCCACTTTCCTGAGGTGCTCTAGAGTTGTGAAGATCAAAGAAACCAAACGTAGAATGGTGGTTGCCAAGGACTGGGAGAAGGGAGTGGGGACCGAGTGTTCAATGGGCTCAGGTTTGCAAGATGATAAGAGCTATGGAGATGGATTGTGGTAGTGGTTGTGCAACATTATGGATGTGCTGAATTCCACTGAATTATGCACTTAAAACGGTTGAGATGGTAAGTTTTATATGTATTTTACTACAATAAAAAAAATCAAGAGAGGGAAAAGAGGAACCTACCCCAATCCCACTTCCTAAGGAACTTTCAGCAGGAAATCGCAGCTACCACAAGAGATGGCATTTGTTCCACGGAGCCTTCTTCTGCCTAGTGCCGCCACCGCCTCCTCCTCCTCCTCCTATTTTCCAGGACAAGTCCGTGACTTTTCTGTCTACACTTGTGCAATGCTATTACTGTACATTGTATTTCACCCATGATAAGGCTCTAAATACAATGGGTGGCAGATTCTGTTGTCCAGAGGTGGCTAAAACAGTGTCTCCAATTGTGTGTGCTCTTCTCTAGTGTGACCTGTGCCTTCCTGCATCAGGAGAAGGCGTTGTCTATAGGTTGGATCTGGGGTGTCCCCCAAAGGCCCAGATGTTAAAGACTTGCGCTTAGCTTTGTGCTCTGGAAGGTGGTGGAAAACTTTAAGAGTTGGGGCCTCATGGGAAGTCACTGTGACCTTGAAGGGGACGGTGGGATCCCAGTATCTTTCTTTTTCTCTTCTGCCTTCCACCCATGATGCGAGTAGTTTTGCGATGCGCTGCCTCCATGATGTGCTGTCTTGCCACAGACCCAAAAGTAATGGGGCAAACCAACCATGGATTGAAATCTCCAAAACTGTGAGACAAAATAAACCTTTTATCTCTATAAGCTGATTAGCTCAGGTATTTGTTATAGCAATGGAAAGCTGACTACCACAGGGTTTATATCCATCAGTTCAACCCATCCCAGCCTGTCTTGTAGACTCCTGACTCTCAACAGCCAACAGAATGATGTAGAAATGGTGGTGTAGGCCTGTAATCCCAGCACTCTGGAAGGCTGAGATAGGAAGATTATAAATTTGAATATAGCCAGGGAACTTAGCAACTTAGCAAGATTAAAAAAAAAAAAATTTTTTTTTTTTGAGACAGGGTCTCACTATGTAGTTGAGACTGACCTGGAACTCACTATGTGGCCCAGGCTGGTCTTGAACTCACAGCAATCCTCCTGCCTCAGCCTCTCGAGTGCTGGGATTATAGGCATCTGCCACCATACCTGGCAAGATAAAAAATTTTAAAAGGCTGAGGATAAAAAATTTAAAAAGGCTCAGTGCAAAGACCCTTGGTTCAATTCCCAGTGCCTCAAATAACGATGACAACAATGATGATGATGATGTTGATAAAATACTAATACATTTAAAATAAAATCTATCGAACAATAAAGTTTTTAAGTGACAGAGGTCTTTTTGATTCATCTTGATTCCCTTCTGCTTGTCCTGGTCTCTTCACTGTTCACAGGCATTAACTATTTAAAACATGCTGGTGGAATTCACCAAGAAGTAGTTTTGTAGCAGTATCTATCTCGTCTCTAAGAATAATACTGGAACATAGTATGTACTCAATTAAAATGTGTTTTTAAAGAGCAATTTACTATCTAAAAAATACAGGACACTTGAGAATGAAGTAAGGGCACAAGAAGAAGTTGGTCTTTGTCATCAGTTACTATTCAGTCTTGTAAAACTCTACAAGAGCTACTGCAAGCCATGAGTATGATTTACTGATAATGGTCTACCAGCAAAGTTAGAAAAGATAAAGGAGAAAGTTGCTTCTACTACATAAAAATGAAAAACTCTGCAAATGAAAAAACATTGTAAATAAAATGAAGGTGAACAGCAAGCTAGGAAAGATTTGCCAGTATATTAACAAAGGATTACATTTGAAGAGGTCTTGTAGATCAGTAAAAGAAAGACAAACATGCCAAAAGGGAGGAAGATAGTCAAAATAAAAAGAAAAACATAAATGTTAATAAACACACGAAAAATTTCTCAAATTCATTAACAGCCACAGAAATTCATGATCAAACCACACTGAAATAGCTTTGTTTTTCTCAGTGCTGGGTGTGGAACCCAACAATTTTCTTTTATCGAACTGGCAAAGAATTTTTAAAGATAATATGCAATGTTTTCCAAAGTGGGGAGGCTGAAAATTGATGTTTAGAGTTTCACATTACAAACCTTTCACATCAGGGCATGCTCTGTGACCTGGAGTTTCAACTTTTCCAAATTTATGCCCAATAATTTATTGCTGATATCTGCCAAGATTTGTTCACAAAGGCTCCCATGAACTATTGTTTTTAATAGTAGAAAATTGGAATTAATGGGTAATCACTGGGACTTGGTAAAATAAATCATAGCACTGCAATGCGATAGTCAACAGTCACTTCAAGTGCTGATACAGAATAACATTTAATGCAATAGGGATGTAGTCACATTCTATGATTAATTTTATTTTTGTTGTTTTGGTACCAGGGATCGAACTCAGAACCTTATGCATGTGAAGCAGGAGGTAGAACCACTGAGCTAAATCCCTGGCCCTCTATGATTAATTGTAAAGATTGTTCTACCAAGCAAATGCATGGCATCTTATTCTCATCATACATGCATATATATTCCATAAACATAAATGTACATAGAAGCCCAAAATGATTTATACTAAAATTTTATAATTGCAGGTGATTTCACTCTTCCCACCTCCCTTCTGTGATTTTTAAATGTTTTACACTAGCTCTATCACTTTTCTATTCAAGAAAAAATGCGTATGTCATGATCCCTTTTCAGTAGTGAGGAAATGACCCCTTACGTAGAGGCAGGAATGCCAGTGCGGTTGTTCCCTTGGAAAAACACATGCAGGCCTCACGGTGTACATTGTCCAACAGCCCATTCTCATGAGGATGCAGTGAGGAGGGAGGAGTTTGGGTGAATGTTTGTTCTCGCTGTTGGTCCCTGCAGTCAGTCTGCGGGAATAGGTGCTCTGTGTTCCCTAGAACCAGAGAATACTTGTCAGGTCTGCCATTCTGTCCACACATGTGGAAAGATGTGGGAGTGAGGGGCTTTGTTCATCCCATCTGGGCATCGTGGCATCTACCTGCAATCCCATCATTCTGGGAGGCTGAAGCAGGAGGATCACAAGTTCAAGCCCAGCCTGGACAACTTAGTGAACTTAGCAAACTTGGCAAGAACTTGTCTAATGCTTTAAAAATTTGAAAGGGTTGGGGGAGGTGTAGCTCAGTGCAAAGGCCCTGGGTTCAATCTCCAGGACCACAAAAATAAATATTTAAGTAAATAGATAAACGCCACTCCATCCCAATCAGGACCATTTCTGTTCCACGGGCAAGTGCTGCAATGGATTTGCTTTATTTTCCACCCACACAAACACAGAGATTACACAATTAGTTCCAGGCACCCTGCGTGTACTTGAATGACGGCATCCTGCCGGGGACTGCAAGTGTCATGGGGGTGAGGAGTTGGGTCGTGAGCAGCAAACAGAGTTTACTTATTTCTCCTTTATTTAGCTCTCTGTTTTGTGAGGACACAGAAAAATCATGCAATGAAATCTGATGGGAATCATTTCCAAAACAAAACTAAACTAAAATAAAACAATGGTTCAACCTTCATGGATTCCTCTAGCTTTATTTCTAAATATAATTCCTATATAAAAGTACTTCACTGCACTTTGGGGATCACTAAAATAAATGAAATCTTATAGGAAAAAAACGGGAAAAGTCTTTTAAAAACATGCATTCAGATAATGCCATGAACTATTAAAACTTGGCAGCCCACAATGGCAGAATACTCCCTGCCCACAGGTAGAAACAAAGGTATTTCCTTCAACTCCAAGGCATCCTTTCCCCCACTTTATTGATGTGCTGCTGTCAAATGATCAGGAAGTGTGTTTATATGCACAAGTGTTTCAGCTGACTTTTTATAAGGTTTCCTCTAGATTCAAGAGACTTCCAAAAATACAAGTGGGGCTTCCAGGAAGTTTACGCACTGTCACCTCGGGGGTTTCCCAGAGAGGGGTCACCTGGACCTCACACCTTGGGCGCCGCCCCCATGACAATAAAATGAAAGGAGCTGGCAATTCTCTGTCAGCCTTCAGGCTGGAAACCTGGGAGCAGCCCAGGAAGCAGTACATTCAGTGACACCTAAGGACACCTTTCCTGGGCCAGCAGGTGTCATTTGTTCATTTAAATGCTACTCCAGCAGGGCGTGGTGGCACCTACCTGCAATCCCATCATTCTGGAGGTGCTGGGGTCCCGAAGGTGTTCGTATCCAGCGGCAGGGAAGGAGCCCAGGAGAGGAATCTGACAGGCTTCCAGGTACTTCTGTTATTTCACTCTGAAACAAGCCGATGAAAGAAAATGGTTCAAGTCATCTATTTGATAAAATGATCGCTTATTTAATGGAAGTATCTGGCAATGTCAAAGGAGATTCAATAGTGCCACAGCCCCCCACCTTTCCCTAACAGTTCCCACGTTTTGCAGCTGTTCCAGGAATTGTTCCGCCTCCCCTCAGTGTTCTCCAATTCCCTACCCCTTTTGGCTTTTGGCTGTCTCCTTTTTTCTCATCCTTTTCCAGTATATTTTTGTTTCTTTCTCCAGTAACTCTCTTTTCTTTCCACAGTACATCAAATCATGCCTACCTTACCTGAACCCCACACAAAAGACACAGAATCTATGCACCAGGAGGCAGAGTTCTCCCCATTAGGTGTGAGCTCTGAGGGTTACACACAGCTAAGTCATCTGACAAATGAGAAATCCCACAATTAGGGTAAACAACGTGCCCAATGCCACGGAGTCTAGAAGTAGCAGAACCAGTCTCCAAACTTCCTGATTCCTAACCTAGGGCTGTTTCCAGAGTGCAAGGGTTGCGGGGGGGGGTGAGAAACAATTAAACCCTATTTACTGACTACCACATCTTCTCAGATTTTAGGGTGGACAGACAGGAAATGGTCCTTCTCCCAGGAAGCCCCCTGTGGTGTAGACAGGAGAATCTTCCATCAGCACATGGTGGGGAAAACGTTCTATTTCCAGAGGCCTGTGTATCCCAACACGGCGGCCCATTCCCACTGCCTTCCCGTGTGGGGTCCCTGGCATCACGTAAGGCATTTGGGCCTTGCCTCCACAGTTCCTTTGTTTCTCAGGGTGTCGGGGGTGGGGGAACAGCAGAGTAACAAGAACGGTGACATCTACTTGAGGGTGTCTCCCGGCCCTGGTAAGGTTCAAGGTCTACATCCTTCCAGGGTGTTTAGCTTCTGGTTCCCCTCAGCGCTTCTTACTGACACTTCAGGTGGGGACTCATCCCCCAACCTTAAAACTCATGCTGCTACAGACTTGCGAGAATCAACAACTCTGGTCGCTGGAAGTATCTCAAAGGCTGAAAAAAGACTATCCCAAAATATATATGTAGATTCATGACCGTCTTCTCTAGAAGTTGGTGTTACATAAAACACAACCACTTTTAGGTGACTCTATGAGGCGTTTTGACGAGCGAGGGAGAGAAGAGCAGGGCAGCGGGGAGACCTTGAGGTCTGCCCTTCTGTGGGAGGGGCTGTCTTCTCTTCCCTGCCCTCCCTGGGTAGGTCTCCCAGATTTTGCTGGGGCTTTCAGAGTCAGGCGTCCACTTTCCACAGCAGCTTCTCAGCCTGCGCTCCGGGAGGTGGCGGCCAACACAAAGACCAGGTGCGGCAAGAGGAAGGGAGTCTGCCTTGCAGCTCTGGCCAAGGGCGGCGACGCCCCCCCCCACGTAGCTAAGCCTGAACGTCCAATCGCACGCTCCTTTGAGCTACTGTAACACATAGACAGAGCAAGACGGGAGGGCAAAGCTGAGGGAGGTTTCTGGAATGCAGTGCTGCTACCAAAACTCATTTGTCAGGCTGGGGTTGTGGCTCAGCGGTAGAATACTTACTGGTGTACTCAAGGCCCTGGGTTTAATCCCTAGACCCGCAGAGAGGGAAAAAGAAATGTAACTGTGAAGGCTGTCACCTGCTGACAAGCTTCTCAAATGGGATTGGGAATACTGGAGCACAAAGAAAGGACTACGAGATCTGTTTCCTTGTATTCTGAATCAGTAAAAGTAACAAACTGCTAGAAGCGCTGGTATTCAGGGTCCCTGGGCACGAGAACTGGGAGTGGCTAGCAAATAGGCTCCTGGCTGTCCCTGCTCCTATCTCTCCTGCTGTTCAGCACATGAAGGAAAATGGTTTGAAACAGCCTATTTGACAAAATTATTTGTTTACTTGAGGTTTTTCTTTTTGCTTTTGAGTTCAGTGAGAGTTAAGAGATGCTCAGTGGTACACAGGGGCATCCTGGGAGCCTCGTGCCCGGCTCTGTGAACGGTGGGAGAGGCCCGGTCAGCGTGGACCCAGAAGTGACCTGCTCGCCAGGTTGGCTGGTGCGGCTTACAAACAGCCGTGCCGTAGACAACACATTGAGGGAGTATTTTCCCAGCCCGTCCTCTGGACCTGTCCCCAGCTCGTGGGCCTGTTTTTCACGGCCATTGCAGGGGATATGCTCAGGCAGGACTGATACCACAATCAACTCCGTGTATGTACAGACATATTCAGAGCTATGTGCATGCTTTCAGGCTATGTAAATGCAACAATGTATTTCTAATTTATGTTCCTTGGAATCAAAGTTTATATACTATGCAAAGCATGGAAAACATGTTCTCTAAACATAGCGGAAGGATTGTCATACTTACCTGGAAGAGGAAGACTCTGATCACCAAGGTGGTTTTCCCAGAGTGAAGAATATTCATTGCACTCCAGATGTGCTCAACCTGCGATTTCCCCAAATGTGGTAGTGGGGGACTGCGTTTCTGCCAAAAAAAAAAAAAAA